GCCGTAAAAAACTCATGGTTCATCCCTACAGGGGAAAAATGATCCACAAAAGAATCTTAAGAGATCTTCCAGTTACATTTTGCTAAATAGTAAACATCATATTGTAAAACAAATTCAAGCAAATGGGTGCCAGAATAGAGTGTTCTAGGGGACATTTTCCCTGCTGTACTGCATTTAACACAGCAATTCATAAGCAAGAGGAACTGTAGTAAAAAACACTCAAAATAACCAGCATAGTTCCCCAATTCTACCTGGGAAACACCAGCCTTGAGAACTAAGCAGCACGGTTCAGTGTTGAAGAAATTTTAGAAATCTATTCCTTTGTTCAAGTAGAAAAGTTATCTCATAATCTTCCACATTTTATTCCTTTTTACCTATACATCTTAAGTCTCCGACTCTAGCCCAGGAGGTAACTTTCCCTCCTCCATGCTTATCCACTGTGGGTCCTGTCCTCTGTTACTGACACTGTTTTACACCATCTTTAAGGTTCTCCTATGGCAATATAAAGTTCAGATAGCTCCAGGGACTAGCTCTAACCCAAGATTTTTTCTTTCAAACTGAGGTAACAATTGTCTTCTCCTCCCCTCTTAAGCAATTGGGTAGAGCCCTGAACAACATTCTACCTCTCCTACCTACAATCCTACATGCTTCTGAGAGAAGGAGCACATGATAAGGGAAACCTCTAGCACATCACCAATGAAAGCCGATGGGCTCTGTCTGGGACTCTATCATGGCTAAGTCCTCCTAAGCAGTGTGACAGCAAATGCCTCATAAGTTTATGCAAGTCGTAATAGGATTCACTGGGTGACAAAATTCTTCTTGGCTAACTACTGTACATTTTGCAATAAAAATGCATGTTATGACTAGAAAGAGCCTCTCCTCTGTAACAACAGTAAAAATATTCTGTGTGTCATACAAAATACAGTTTATTAAAAAGTTAGTTTTGTTTCTTTAAAGATTCATACACGGGGGTCTTTCTAGTGGTGCAAGCGGTTAAGCCGCAGCACTGTGGAGCTATCCGCGGCCACTGCAGCACAAGTTGGATACCTGGCCAGCGAGGTGACCCACATGGTGCAGCAGACTTCTCCTGACTTACCTGCTGCTCCCCTCAGCAGTGTATTTCAGTCAATCCACCCTTTCTGTTCCCCACTCTATCTCTGGTGAATCCTCTCACACCCCACACCTCTGGCCTATACCCCAGTTCTTATATGCATAAATAAATAAATCTTTTAAAAAAATTCATACACAATCACAAAGAATACTTTTTTCTCAGAGATTTTTCCCTTTCTACAACATAATGCCCAACTTGGCAGCAACTCCCATTTGTGTAGGATGATAGCTCATTTTTAAAACAATGCTTGTGTTTCACCATTATCTGAACAATAGTTGTTTCCTGCAATAATAGACAAGCATGGACTCTATTGTCTCCCTTAACCCTTGATTTGATTTTCTCAATTAATGATCTTACTTTATGAATTGGTTCCTGAACACATACTGGAAGTTACCCGCTGGACACCAGGGACCCTTTACTAAACCATAAGGCAGTGTCCCAGACAACTGGGATATTTATACCTAAGAGTCTTCTTCCAAAAAGCAATACATTCCAAAAGGCAATAAAAGATTTTAACTTTATGTTAGACTATGACTTATCGATAGGCAACGGCCAGCACAAAACAAAACAGGTAACAAAGACCTAAGTATCAGTGAAAATTCAAGTCACTCTTTAAGCGTTGTCCAGACAGCTGTTCATAAGGCTATGTAACTTTAGGCATTAATGTTATATTTTCTACTAGCCACATAGCACCCAAGTCATATTAAATTAAGTATCTCAATATGTCACAGAGTTGTACAAACAGACCAATGTGGGAAATCACGAGTGACCTGGGTGATGACTATTGATCTCCACTTTTTTTTTTTTTGTGATCTCCACTTTCAAAGCAGCCTATAGTACCTGTAAATACCATTCTGTAAATTCAGAACTTCATTTATTCCCTCCCATCTCAAAAAATTACAAAACTAGACACAATGTTAGTTTTTAATCATCCTGGAAAAGGAAGATTGTGTGTGATTACTTCTAATGTACTCGAACCTCTTGGTCAAATTCCTGAGATCTTTATATGTAGCAACAAAAAGCCAAGATCCTTGTGCCTAGACCAGAAAAAGAATGGTGTTAACATGCTACTCAGAGAGGTCTAAGGAAGGGGTAAAAAGATATCTTCCACCATTATCTACATTTTTGTGGATTATTTTGCTCTTTGCCCCATTTTCTCTTTAATCTTTTCCTTGCGTTTCAACTTTCTCCCATCTCTTTACTCCTTCACCTCCAAGTTCTTTTTGCTCTATCATGATAATCAGGGTCAGAATAAGGACAGTAGAGAAGGAGGTACACATCAAGGACTAGGGAATCTAGCCACACCAGCAGCATCAGCCACTAACATCAAGTATCCAATCAAATATTCCATACCTACTATATGAAACGCTGTGATCAGAACGATGGAGGAAATAAGGCATGAAGTAGTTTCTACCCTCCAAGAAGTGACAATATTGTTGGGAGAGATTATGCAAAAAAACTTGAAAAGATAAAACAATAAACTAGTCAGAAGACTGCCATATATGATCTAGAATTCATGGGATATGTTTGAGCACTGAAACCAAAAGAGGGCACAAACACTGTGTTCTAGGATGTCTTGACAAGGTTCAGAGAAGACACAAGCTAGACTATACTTTGAAGGAGCCCCGAGGACACTGAGAGATGAGGAGGGCTGACCCTGTATCAGTCTAATAAGTTAGACACAGAATGGTAAATTTTTTATTACATATATTTTAACACAGCTTCTGAAAAAAGAACAGACAGGTGCCTGGATCACTGAACTCTCTCCAGCAGGTAGAAAGTCAGCACAGGGCCTCCCCGGTGGCACAGCGGTTGAGCGCTGGGTTGCGAAGCTGCCCGCGGCCTCTGCGGCGCCGGTTCGATCCCCGGCTGCTCCCCGGCCACCGGAGGAGGGTCCCACATGGCGCGCAGACCTCTCCTGCCGCCCGCTGCTCCCCTCAGCAGTGTCCTTCGGTCCTTCTGCCTGCTCTGCTCCCCGCTCTGGCTCTGGTGAATTCTCTCACCCTCCCGCGCTTCTGACTGTACCCAGTGCATGTATAAACAAAACAAACAAACAAACCAGCAAACAAATAAATAAAGCATGCCTCTATTAAAAAAAAAAAAAAAAAAAAAGAAAGTCAGCACAGAGGGCTTGACAAACTGAGAATTCCTATGCAGAGATGGAAACATTCTGATTAATTGAATCAATCAATACTGTCCAATACATTTTACACACTTGATAGTTCCTCTTCTACTTCTAAATAACAACCTGACAAATAATTAAAATTAAAAAAACTGACTACACAGAGGAAGGTATGTATGGTGAGGAGATCTGATGCCTCTTCTAACAGGGAAATGCCCTCTGGAGGCAGGGGTCCCAGTGATTTTACTTTATTATCGTATACAAATCCCAAACCCAGAAATTCCACAGGATTTCCATTTTTCAGTGTTCTACTGAGCACATGAGAGGAAGTCTGCAGTCACTTCAAGGAGTCACAAAAAAAAGTTTGAGCTTTCAACTTCCAGCTAATAAAGGCTTGAGTAGATCTAAAGTCAAGGTATTAGTTAGCCTTTGCTGACCACCTGGAAAAACAAATTCCTAAACTGTAAATAAAGCAAATTTTGTAGAAATCATTCATGGAACACCTTAGTTATTTCCCTTTAAACACCAACAAGAAAATTATTTGTTGAAATAATGTCTATGTGCCCCTGACCTTCGATTTGAACAGAAAAAATCCAAATGGTTTCTGAAGGAAGGTCTTTTTTATTGAAAACAGTAAAAGGAATGTCCCCACTTTCACATAATGGCCAGAGTTAGAAGAGAACGAAACATGCTGGGAAACTGTCTAAATGACTGTAAAAATATTCACCGCACATAGCATATTGTGTGAGTATATATACTCTGCACTAGTATAATACTACATAGTAGAAAAAATATATATATAGTGAGGACAATAACTGGCCTGAGGTGCAAGACATTGAAAAGTACACTAAAGTATTAAAAATAGGATTCTTACTGGAATGTCCAACTTTGTTAATTCTTTAAAATTTCCATTATAAACACCCTCCAAAATCAGCGAAATACAAGTTCTGTGAACTTACTTTATTCTTATTACTAAAATTCCTCTCAACACTAGGTATTAGTTATCAATGTATAAAACAAATGAGTTCATTAGCCCTGAACGGCTATGATTATTCAGGAAGAACCAGGGGGATCTGGGTACTCTCAGGACATTTACCAGTCACACATGGTTGTGCAGAAGATGGTGATTCTGATGCTTGTCGTATCTTACCTCATAAAGTTCCTTAAGACCCACTTTCTGAAACAAGTGCTAATTTATGCAGTTCTGTTCTATATACTTCTGATCTCTCTTTTCTGAAATCACCCCATCCCTCCTTTCTAATTTTTAGCAATTTGGGAATCTGAGGGCCTTAGATACACATATATTAGAAAACAAAGAAGATGTATCAAATATGTCCAAATGGGCCTCCCTGGTGGTGCAAGGGGTTAAGCACCGCACTATGAAGCAATCCACAGCATCTGCAGCACAAGTTCAATCCCCTGCCGGCCAGGGAGAAACCCACATGGCGAAGCAGACCTCTTCTGTCTCGCCAGCTACTCCCCTCAGCAGTGTATTTCTGTCATTCTGCCTGTGTTCTGTTCCCCACTCTGTCTCTGGTGAATCCTCTCACTCCCCTGCATCTCTGGCCCGTGCCCCAGCTCTTGTATGCATAAATAAATAAATCTTAAAAAAAAAAAAATGTCCAAATGGTACAACTTATTCTTAAATTTGGTTTCAAGTTACAGGGCCATTCAGTAGTCTAGAGGAGACATTAGTTAACAACAGCTTGTATTTACATTTACGTTTAAATTGGGAAGGTTACATGGGGAAGTGATAGCACTGCTCACCTTTAGGACAGAGGCTAAGCTGGTCATATGCTCGTTGAGGGCACTCTCGGACTCCTTGTAGGTCAAGCAGGTAAACTGGTACTCCTCAGGGTCAAAGGCATCAGCACCCTGCTGTTCCACATCGCTGGCTACTCCCACATAATAGTCCTCTATGTCCCCAGGGTCCTCATCCTCTTCCTCCTCCTCCTCCTCACAATTTGGATCATAGTCCTCTTCATTGCTGTCAGATCCCTGGCTATTCATGTCCACAGACATCTTAGCATCCAGTCAAGTTGCAGATCAAGAAAGCAGTTTTTTCCCCTCTCCCCAAATATTACCACTTTTTCAAATGCATTAGTGTTTTTGTCTTCTAAGGAAGGAAAAGAAAAAAGTAAGTGTTACTTTCACTATGAGAAATTATAATATAAGCTATTCAGGAATCAAGGATACCTCCACTATTGTCTATTCTAACTCTGGTCTCATTTAAGAAACTTCACCATCATCTCTGCCCAGGCTTATCAAAGTGAAATCCTTTTCTGGAGTGGTAGAAGTGGCTGACAATGGTTAACTACACACAAAGAGGCTGGCATGAAAGAAAAAGGTTGTCTGGTCCACCTCAAGGAATCAAATTCCATGGACTGGGCCTCCCTGGTGGCCCTGGTGGCAAGGGGCTAAGTCTTAACACTATGAAGCGATCCGCAGCCACTGCAGCACAAGTTAGATACCAGGCCAGGGAGCTGACCCACATGGCACAGCAGACCTCTCCTATCTTGCATGCTGCTTCCCTCCGCAGTGTATTTCAGTAGATCTGCCTGTTCAGCTCCCCACTCTGTCTCTGGTGAATCCTCACACCCCTGTACCTCTGCCCTACACCCCAGCTCTTGTATGCATAAATAAATAAATCTTTGAAAAAAAATTCCATGGACATGTCCTTCCTGTCAGAGTCCTTAAGAAAGAAGCAAATCCCCATAGCCGCCCACTGGGAAAGTAACCTAAAGGCTTATTTACCAAAGTTTAAAATCTCTTTGCTCATCATGCCCCACTGAGTGGTAAAACTGTTCAAAAATAGGGACATTAGTCTTCCCAATATAACATCTAGGAAAAGAATCCACTGTTTCACAGACATTACCCTCAAATATCTAGAAAACAGTGTGTAGTTAGTGAAGAAAAAAGAAAAGCCACAGAGCACTTCAATATTCTTCGCCTAGAATCTGAAAAGTTAACTGATTTTTCAGTTTGAAAGGGTGGTACTGATCATTTTTTAAAAGGAGTACTTAGAGGTAAAAGAAATTGACCAAACAGAAAACTACAGCTATTTGGCCTTAGCAGGATCAAGGCTAAGGAAAACCAGAATCTATTTAAGCTGAAGAAACAAGTGTTTAAATGGATCCAGCTACTGAAAAATATTCACAGATCAAAGTGCTACTCAATTACATATACATGAAAAGAGAACACTAGCTGAGGAAGCAAAATACAAAAGGTCCTAACTTCATCTCAGAGATTTCACAAGTACCCATTTACTTCTCTGTATAAGTACTATTTCAAGTGATCATTTGCAAGAACAGTATCAAATAGTGACTTAAATCTAAAAATTAACAGGACCTTAGAAATTAAGAATATTTGGATTGAATGGTGTGGGGCAAAAAATTACAGAAACAAACCTGCATTAAACACAACAATAAATATAAGTTTATTTGAAAAAGATAATTGCTTTCTTTAAAACATTAAAATAAAGATAAATAGTATGTACTAAATATGCAACTAGAATAAAGGATTACAGAGCCACTGTAAAATGATATAATAAAAATATCACTGAATCCAAATTTGATGTCAACTATAAATGCTCAAATTTTAAAAAAGTCATGTTAGTGAGGTCACAGCAATATATTTTCAGTTGGACTTCTCAGAAATTGTTTTGTTTGGTATAACCATTTAATCACAAATGAACTTAAGTAACTTTCCTTCAGGAGAAAAAATTATCTTTAAATTAAAAAAAAAATACCTGTTATTCTTGGAAATCTTTCAGGAAGATGTCACCCAAATATTCTACGTCATATGATTTCCATCTAAAATGAAAAGAAAGATATCTATTTATGTATTTTGAAATGGGAGCCCTGCTTTTATAAATTTTGAAAAAGAAGAAGCATTTTTAAATTATAAGCAGCAATACAACATCACTGTAAGTCCCATAGAAATCCATGTCAAAATTATATTCACAAGTAGCACCCTAAAACAAGAAAGTATTCAAACTAAACAGGTGACAATAATTTAACCTAGGGTACTAGATAGAGTGTGATAATAGAAATGGATGCCCAACCTCCCTGGTGGCACAGGTGATTGAGCGCAGCGCTGGGAAGCTTTCTGCAGCCTCTGCAGCTCGAGTTCGATCCCTGCCGGCTGGGGAGATACCCACATGGCGTGCCAGACCTCTCCTGTCTTGCCCGCTGCTACCCTCAGCAGTATATTTCAGTCAGTCTGCCTGTTCTGTTCCTCACTCTGTCTCTGGTGAATTCTCTCACCTTCCACACCTCTGGCCTGTACTCCAATTCTTGTATGCATAAATAAATAAATCTTTAAAAAAATACTTGAAAACAGACAGGCAAATATAAACTAAATGAAAATTAAAGCTCAAGCAATAATTGTAGAAAATTATTTTCAAAATAGTAAAAGAGTAATTGATTATTTTAAACCTTTTTTTTTTTTAACTGTTTGTTAATTTAAGACACTGTTTCATGGGCAAACAGAATCTATGAATGTTGCTCTCATCTACAAAATAGCATTACCAATAATATGCACAGGGGTTAAAGACAGCACTATCAAGCTACTGCCAGCCACTGCAGCGCAAGTTCGATCCCCAGCAAGGGAACAACCCACATGGTCAAGCAGACCTCTCCTTTCTGCCCTGCTGTTCCCCTCAGCAGTGTATTTCAGTACATTTGCCTGTTCTGTTCCCCACTCTCTCTGGTGAATCCTCTCAACATCACCCCAACCCCGCACCTCTGGCTTATACCCCAGTTCTTATATGCGTAAATAAATACATCTTAAAAAAAAATAGTTGTCATTCAACAAGAGCCAATTTCAAGATAAATTTCTCATTAAACCTTCACAACCTTACAAAGTGGCTATCAATCCCTCAACAAAAGAGGAAATTAGAATTCAAAATAGGTTATGTAACTTACCGAGAACCAAGCTGCTGGGAACCAGTAGAGTCCAGTCATATTTCCACCAGATCCATCTCCTCTGGGAATTCATAACTCCCCAACAACTCCTTCCTCTCCACCCCAAGAACCTGATACTATCCACACAGCTAGCTATGCCCAGAATCACAAGAATGGGTATGTTTTTCATATTCTAAGGATTTCTCCTGAGGATTTGGGTTAAGCAGCTGACCACAGACACAGGCTTTCTCAACAAAAAAATATTCAAGAAGCAAGGGAGAACTTCAGCCTCCCGTCCAAAAATTAAAATACTGTACTTACTGGGTGCTGTGGATTAAATTTTAATAAATACTTAGTATTTAATCTTTTCGAAGTATCTCTATTCTACTTGAAAAAGTGTGGACACTGCTCCAAAGGGCCGGTATGTTATTGTCTGATTAGAAGAAATGACGGCAATGCCTTGATTTTCTTTAAATGTTAAACGTCATTCCTACATCCTGGACAGGAAAGGAATAACAGAAATCACCTTTCTCCAGAGCCAAAATCACTTGTTCAGAAGAACCCACCCTGAGGTAAAGGACCCAAGCTGAAGATTTCTCGGCTTAAAACTGATTAACAGCAAAACACAGACATTTAATTACGATGATGTTTATTTACTCCACTAATGATACTGATCGTCTCAGAAAACTACCTAACCATAAACATAAATCAGCAACTCAGTTTCCATATCCTTTCTGTCCTATCTAACATGGTAGCCACTCTCGACTTGTGAATTTAAAACTTAATTTAAAAAGTTATATAAAGTTTAAAATTTGTTTTTTCAGTCACAAGTCAAATGCTCGACGTGTGGCAGGTGGCTGCCCTACTTAACAGCAAAGTACAGAATATGTCCATTGTGGCACAGAGTTCTATGGGCCAGAGCAACGATCACCACTGAAGTGAAGTCATCAGAGAATGCTGCCTACTGTCTCGCAACTAGCACAACGTCCGACGAGGCAGCAGCGCAGCTCCCGGGCCCCAAGTCCCTTGCGAAGTGGCGGGATAACCTCGAGGACCTGGAGCCCACGCGCTGGGGGACCCTCCACAGGCGGGCGTTAACTAACCGCGCGGGCGGCACTTTGAGAGCTCCCAAAGATGACTCGAGTGGGGAGTCCCAAAGGCGGTGCGTTCCCCAGGCGTACCCGGCAGCCAAGGGCCTAGAAGCGCCGGCGCCAGTCGGTCAGAGGCGCTGGCCTCCGACCTCTCCGCGAGCTGAAAAGGCAGCGGGTGGAGGGGGAAAGGAGAGACGCCGGGTGCCAGCCCGCACCGACCGCAGCCTTTAGCTGCCTCTCCGCGGCTGGGACGACGGTGAGACCCGAGACCGACTACGGGTGGCCGGGGAACCCCGGGCCTCGCGGGCGGCGATGAAGGCGGAGCCCCGGCCCGGCTAGGAGGCGCGCGGAGAACCCACTCCCTCCCCCGGCCCGCCAGGGTAAACAAGGCCCGGACTCGCGCCGAGCACTCACCGGGAGTCGCGACCCGGCGGCCGCTGAGCCCGGGTGGGCCAGTCCGGGTCGGGCCGGGCCAGAGATCGGACCCAGGTGCAGCGGCGGCAGAGGTTGCGGGCCGACGCCGGTCAAGGCCCGCGCTGCTTCGCCCGGAGGAGCCGTCTCCGCACTCCGGAAGTGCTCGGCGCTGTTGCGTCATTTCCGGCCCGGGGTCGGCCCGCGGTCGCCCGGGTCGCACAATCGCTGAGTAGTGGCGCTCTTAGGTGGCAGCTGCTGTGCAACCCAATGCGCCAACCCTGAATCTGACCGGAGCACGGCCAGCCCCGACTGTCGCGGCAGGCAGCCGAGGAGAGGGTTTGTGGCGGTGTTCAGGGCAGCTCTTCCGGCTTCCTCCTGCCAGCTCCGCCCGCCGGACGTTTTTAACCGGAATTTTCAACCAGTGTTTTCCGTGGACTCCTCATTCCTCTGTACCCGAATGTCGGGCACGGAGAAGACCGCCTGACGATTGAGGAGTGGATAAAGGATTGTTTCCCCGCCGCTGACTGGGTGGTCGGATCCAAACGCCGAGAATATCTGCCTGCGCTCGAAGGCTGTAGCCTGTTGGGCCACCACGCCGGACGTTTACTTCCCTCTCCGCGACCAGCTTCGCCGCCCATTTCTCCTTCACTGGACAAGGTTGAATATAACTGCCTTGTTGCAGTTTCTTCAAACACTACAGGGAATACCATTGTGATTTCCAGTACCTTCTAAGACGTTTTGTCAAGTATGCATAGAGCGAGCCACGGGGACTTACTCAAGTTGCTGCTGCACAGCAGTTGAAATGACTTGTGTGATGTCGGTGATGTCAGGAAGCCTCCTGACTCCCTGTGCAAGCCCATAGATAACCCAAACCATTTCCACCTACACACAAGTTGTTTATGTACTTATGTTCGAGATATCTTGTGTGTGGCAGGCTCTCATTTAGTTTTTGCTTCTTGCATGTACTTGTCTATATTACATGATTTTCAGCATCATTTTCACTCAGCATATATCTAAATCAGGTGCAATCAAATGCTATAAAGCCCCAAGTTAATTTGGAGTGAAATTAGTAGTACCAAGTAATATATTGTAGGGTCACGAATTTTATATATTAGCAACTTAAAAGTATACTGTAATCCAGTGTACTTATTTAACTTCTTTTTTTTTTTTTTTTTTATTCTTTTTTTTTTTTTTTTTATAGAGGCATGTTTATTTATTTATTTGTTTGTTTGTTTGTTTTTTGTTTATACATGCACTGGGTACAGTCAGAAGCGCGGGAGGGCGAGAGAATTCACCAGAGCCAGAGCGGGGAGCAGAGCAGGCAGAAGGACCGAAGTACACTGCTGAGGGGAGCAGCGGGCCGCAGGAGAGGTCTGCGCGCCATGTGGGACCCTCCTCCTGTGGCCGGGGAGCAGCCGGGGATCGAACCGGCGTCGCAGAGGCTGCGGGCAGGTTCGCAACCCAGCGCTCAACCGCTGCGCCACCAGGGAGGCCCTTATTTAACTTCTTTTGGTAAAACATCTCTCTATGTTAGCAGAAGACCCAAAATGTATTTTTTGGCAAATGAAATAAATATCAATTAGAAGTTCTCACTTCAGGTTACATATAATAAATTCTCTCCAATTAATAAAAGGGAAACAGTCTTCTATAGAATTAGTGGATTTGCAAATTAGAGAATGAAGACACATCAAGTACAAGAATGCAAGTGCAGTATATTGGAATGCCATGTGTTAATGTTTATTTGTTCACCTGTCTTCCACTCCCCCAAAGGTGAGTTTCCTAAGGGCATAGATCCTACTTACTTTCAATATTACGCTATCAAACATGTATTGTACTGAGGATAATACTATCTTCAGTGGCGATTTCTAGAAAATATTTTAAAATCAAGCCAAAACTTGTAAGACTATGGATAAAAACATGTTCACATATGTTTTTTGGAATGATGATTTTTTTTTAAGTTTTTTTTTTAATTTATTTATACAAGAACTGGGGTACAGGCCAGATGTGCAGGAGGGTGAGAGGATTCACCACAGACAGAGTGAGGAACAGAACAGACAGAGTGACTTAAATATACTGCTGAGGGGAGCAGCGGGCGAGACAGGAGAGGACTGCCGCTCCGTGTGGGACCCTCGCTGCCCGGCCAGGATCAAACTGGCGCTGCAGAGGCTGCGGCCAGCTTCTCAGTGCGGCGCTCAACCGCCTGCGCCACCAGGGAGGCCCTGGAACGATGATTCTAATAGGAAGAAGTTTGCTGCATTCCAAATGTCCAAAAGTAAGGTTTCGTTTTAGTATGTAATATGTGATAAAGCCATAAAAAATGCTGCTGTGTGGGCCTCCCCTGGTGGCGCAGGCTGTTGAGCACAGCGCTATGAAGCTGGCCGCAACCTCTCCAGGAAGCGCGGGTTGGATACCTGCCTGACGCGGAGATCCCCACTTGGCGCAGCAGACCTCTCCTGTCTCTCCCGCTGCTCCCCTCAGCAGTGTATTTTAGTCAGTCTGCCTGTTCTTCCCCCCTCCCCCTCTGTCCCTGGTGAATCCTCCCACCCTCCCGCGCATCTGGCTTGTACCCGGTTCTTGTATGCATGAATAAAATAAATCTTAAAAAAAAAATGCTGCTGTGTTAAGGCATCTCTTGACAAGGAAAGGTATTTGTGATATATTCTTATTTTTTAAATTTTTTAAATTTTTAATTTTTTTGTGGGCCCCTCGCCGGCGGCCAGGGAACTAACCGGTGCTGCAGAGGCTGCAGGTAGCCTCGCAGCCCAGCACTCAACCGCTGCGCCACCAGGGGAGGCCCTGTGATATATTCTTAAGTGGCAAGTGAAACAATATAAACTATCCCATTTTCAAAGTATATATACATCTTATATGTATAAATATAAAATGTGAAGTTTTTCAGCGGTTTCTGTGGGATTCCAGCTGACCACAGTAGGAATACTGTATCTCAGGTCCTTGCTGTCTACCCTCAGCTAAAAGACTCAAAGGCTGAAAACAGGAATCATGGGAAGAGTTACTCATACATCGGATGGTGGCTGTCAGCTTGGAGCTTAGCTGGCACTGTTAGCCAGAATACACATACAGATGACCTCTTCATGTGGCCTAGTAACATGGTGGCTGGGTTCCAAGCATGTGTCTTTGAGTCAAGTGGAAACTATCTCTTTTTATGACCTAGGCTTAAAATCAAACAGTTTTACTTCTACCACGTTTTATTGGTCTAAGCAGCTACAAAGGTCCTCTCAAGTTCAAGGGGAGGAAATGAAGTCCCACTCTTGCTCAGGGAATACTAACTGCATTTCACCTTGTAAAAAATGTATAGGGCCTCCCCGGTGGCTCAGTGGTTGAGCGCTGGGTTGCAAGGCTACCCGCAGCCTCTGCGGTGCCTGTTTGATCCCCCACCACCGGTGAGGGTCCCACATGGTGCACAGACCTCTCCTGCTGCCCGCTGCTCCCCTCAGCCGTGTGCTTCATCAGTCTGCCTGCTCTGCTGCTCTCTGCTCTGACCCTGGTGAATTCTCACCCTCCCGCGCTTCTAACTGTGCCCAGTGCTTATTTAAATAAATAAATAAATAAATCTTTAATAAATAAATAAATAAATAAATAAATAAATAAAATGTTAAAAAAAAAGTATATCTAGTGGGACCTATGTTGATATGGTCATCTGGAAAAAAATCTTGTCACAGTAGATTTATCTCATACATATATCCTTTATCTTACTCCTCTTTACCTGTAGTAATTATACAACTGTATTAACTATACAATTAATATGATACATTGAAGTTTTAAAAATTAAATATAGAACATATTAAATATAAATAAATGTAAAAATATTTAATATAGAACAATATAGATAGCAACATGTGAATTTCCCATGAACTCACTGCAGCTCTCTACTCATTGCCCAGAGTTTATTGCACATTCTTCTAGGACCCTCTCTTTACATGTATATGCATATCTATATTTACAGCTATATACACTTTTACACAAACTTTTCATTAAGTCATTTATAATCTATACATAATTCTGATTTTTTTTCATTTAGTAGAAGTTGCTATTCTTAGCCCAGTTGACAAATGAGCAAATTAAGACAGGTTTTGCCCAAAGGGTTTTTGATAATTGCCCAAGGTCATAATGTTAGAAAGTAGCAAAGGTAAGATTCTCATTCTGGCTCTCTCCAAAGCCTGTTCTCTTTCCATAGTATTGAACCCTATCTCAGCATTTCCTATTATGAATGTATTGTCATCTAATTGACCATTTCTCCTTTTGCTGGTCATCTGTTTCCAATTTGTCACCATTACAAATATGGCAGTGAACACTCCTGGATGGACTTCTGTTTGCATATATGTGAAAATGCTTTGAGTTATATTCCTCGGAATGGAATTGGTGAGTTAACTATTTTTTTTTTTAATAGAGGCATGTTTTATTTATTTATTTGTTTGTTTGTTTTGTTTTGTTTATACATGCACTGGGTACAGTCAGAAGCCCGGGAGGGTGAGAGGATTCACCAGAGCCAGAGCAGGGAGCAGAGCAGGCAGAAGGACCGAAGTACACTGCTGAGGGGAGCAGCGGGCGGCAGGAGAGGTCTGCGTGCCATGTGGGACCCTCCTCTGGTGGCCGGGGAGCCTCCGGGGATCGAGCCTGCGCCGCAGAGGCCGCGGGCAGCTTCGCAACCCAGCGTTCAACCACTGCGCCACCGGGGAGGCCCTGGTGAGTTAACTATTATGCTCATTTTACATGGTGATACATACTGCCAAATCACCTTTTAAACATATCTGTTTCGGGCTTCCCTGGTGGCACAGGCAGTTGAGCGTCACACTGTGAAGTTGTTGGCAGCCTCTGCAGTGCGGGTTTGATCCCCACCAGCCAGTGAGAATCCCACATGGCACGGCAGACCTCTCCTGTCTTACCTGCTGTTCCCCTCAGCAGCGTATTTCGTAAGTCTGCCTGTTCTGTTCCCCACTCTGTCTCTGGTGAATCTTCTCACCCTCCCGCACATCTGGCCTGTATAAAAATAAATAAATCTTTAAAAAAATAAAATAAAAATGTCTGTTTCTTTGAGTCCAACTAAAGGCAATTCACCATGTTGTTAAATATAATAGTGAGTAAAGGAGACCACAGTCATGCAGTCAAGGAACTTTCTTCTAGAAGATGATGCACAAATGAGAGGAATAGTTAAATAAGCATGAAATTGCTATGAGGAGCACAGATTTTCCCTGCTATCCAAAAGTAGAACTGTCCTATTTGGTACATTATTTTGCTGATACCTGTTCTATACATTGTCCAGAAAGATCTTTTAAAAGCATAAAAGATACCATTTCCCTGTTCAAACCACCCAAAACTTTCTAGCACAGGTTTTGACATACAGGCCTACAGAGAAAAGGATGGGGAGACAGATATGCAAGGTTAAAATCCCTGTTAGGCAACTTCCTAGCATGTTGCCTTGGGCAAGGAAACTTTTTTTTTTTTAATTTGAAAATCTTCAAACATACAGAAATGGTGAAAGAATAATATAGTGAATACTTGGATACTGTATCTAGAATCAATAAGGCAAAAACTATTAGCATCATTCTTAACTGTTCTCACACATCTTATTTTCTATCCATTAACAATTCCTTTTAAGTTCTTCAGAACATATGTAGAACCGAAACACTATTTTTTAAAAAGATTTATTTATTCATGCATACAAGAACCGGGGTACAGGCCAGATGCAGGGGAGGATGAGAGGATTCACCAGAGACAGAGCAGGGAGCAGAACAGGTAGATCTACTGAAATACACTGCTGAGGGGAGCAGCGGGTGAGACAGAGACTTCTGCCACACCATATGGAGTTCTCGCTTGCCGGCCAGGATGAAACCCGCGCTGCAGAGGCCGTGGACAGCTTCACAGCGCTGTGCTCAACTGCCTGCGCCACCAGGGGGGCCCAGAATTGAAACACTTTATTTATTTTTTAATTTAAATATTTTATTTTATATAATTCTTACATATTTTTTCATCTTTGCACAATGTATGCATTTTCATTTTGGTTATATTCCCCATACAATTGCACCTCCCCCCTTATTTTGACTCTAGTCCTTCCTTTCTCTGCCCCGCCCCACCCAGTGTGACTCTGGTTTATAGTTGCTTGTTGATTTTGATCTTTACTTTGTATTGATTAGTCTTTTTCCTGGTCTCTTATTTAGATTTTCTAAATTCCTGCTATGAGTGAGACCATCCGGTATTTTTCTTTTTTTTCTGACTTATTTTGCTGAGCATGATCCCTTCTAGCTCCATCCATGTTGCTGCAAACTGCATGTGTTTATCTTTTTTGATTGCTGAGTAATATTCCATTGTGTAAATGTACCACATTTTCTTGATCCAGTCATCTATTTTTGGGCATTTGGGTTGTTACCAAAGCTTAGCTATTGTAAATAGTGCTGCTATAAACATAGGGGTGCAGGTGGTATTTGGAATTAATGTTTCTGTGTCCTTTGGGTAAATACCTAGGAGTGGAATTGCTGGATCATATGGAAGCTCTATGTTTAGTAGTTCAAGAAATCTCCACACAGCTCTCCATAGTGGTTGGACCAGTTTGCACTCCCACCAGCAGTGCAGGAGAGTTCCTTTTTCTCTACAACCTTGCCAACACTTGTTGTTGCTAGTTTTTTTAATATATGCCATTCTCACTGGTGTGAGATGGTATCTCATGGTAGTTTTGATTTGCATTTCCCTGAATACAAGTGATGTTGAACATTTTTTCATCTGTTGGCCATTTGCATTTCTTCTTCAGAGAAGTTTCTTTTTAGCTCTTCTGCCCATTTTTTAACTGGATTGTTTTCTTTGTTTTTGTTGAGTCTCATCAGCTCTTTGTAGATTTTTGTGATCAGTCCTTTATTGTTAGTGTTGTGTGCAAAAATTTTCTCCCAGTCAGTGGGGTTTCTCTTTGTTTTGGTTATTGTCTCTTTTGCTTTGCAGAAGCTCTTTAATTTGATGTAGTCCCAGCTGTTTATCTTTGCCTTCACTATCACTGCTTTGGGTGATGTGTCTGTAAAGATGTCTTTGAGGTGCATGTCATGTAGTGTTTTGCCTATATTTTCTTCTATGTATTTTATGGTTTCAGGTCTTATGTCTAGTTCTTTAATCCATTTTGAGTTGGTTTTTGTGCATGGTGTGAGGTAGTGGTCAATCTTCATTCTTTTGCATGTAGCGACCCAGTTTTCCCAGCACCATTTATTGAACAAACTTTCTTTGCTCCAGTGCATATTTTTTGCTCCTTTATCAAATATTAATTGACCATAAATCTGTGGGTTTATTTCTGGATTTTCTATTCGATTCCATTGGTCTGTGTGTCTGTTCTTGTTCCAATACCATGCAGTTTTGATGATTATGGCTTTGTAGTGTAGTTTGAAGTCTGGGAGTGTGATGCCTCCATTCCCTTCTTTTTTTTTTTTTTTTCAGAAGAGCTTTGGCTATTCGGGGTTTTTGGTGCTTCCATATGAATTTCATCAATAATTGTTCTATTTCTTGGGGAGGCCCCTCCTTTTGTTCTTCAAGGCTCCCTGCTTCCTCCTTGCTATCTATTCTTACCTAGCAGTCAGAGGGACCCTGTTAACTTGTAAGTCAGAATATGTCACTGCCCAGTTCAAAACCCCAGAATGGTTCTCATCTTCAGAGGATAGGCTGATGTCCTCCCAGTGGCACAAAGCCCTGTTTGATATACCACTATTGCCTTCCATGTCAATCAGCTACTCTTCTTCCTCCCCTTCACTCTGCTGTAGCCACAAAGGTCTGCCTGTTCGTCAAATGGCCAGGCATAGCTCTTCGGGCACAGCCCAGGGTTTCTGCATTTTGTTACTGTTCTTGAAAGGTCTCTCACCCCCCACCTCATATCTGTGGACAGGACTCCTTCACCTTATCAGATCTTGAATGCAGTCACACTGTCAGTGAAACCCTCCCTTACTCACCTAATTAACATTGCAAATTACTAGCCTCCCATATTTTTTAATTCTCTTTGGATATATTTTTCTCTATAGCAGTTATGACTACTTGACACACTATGCATTTTTCACTCTGTGTGGTCTATGAACACATTGACAGGCACCCGTGTGTCTCCAGTTCCTTCCTGGAAAGGCTCATGGCACGTAGCAGGGCGCAATCGACTTATGGGAGATATAAGAAATTGGACAGAGAGAAAGAATTGAATCAAAACAGCAGGAAATAGTTAAAGTAGGGAAAACTTTCAAGAGGAGCACATCCCTCCGCCTGGCACTCCCAAATACTGCCACTTACCCTCAAGCCACACCCACTGAGGGCGGGGCCACGACCGGAAGCAGCCGTGGGGGCGGAAGTCCGGCCCGGCTAGCTGGGTCCCGCCCAGTCCCGGCCCCTAGCCCCGCCCAACCGAAAGTGGGTGAAAGGTGCGCGGTGCGGCGCTGAGGCTGGGGCGGTGGAGCGGGACCGGCTGGGAACAGACAGACACCCTGAAGGACAGACCATGGCAGACCAGGCGAAGCCCATCAGTCCTCTTAAGAACCTGCTGGCCGGAGGCTTTGGCGGCATGTGCCTGGTGTTCGTGGGGCACCCGCTGGATACGGTCAAGGTGCGAGGCGGCTGGGGCGCGGGCTGGGGGAGGAGGCCGGAGCTAGACGCCGAAATTGGGGTCTCTCTTTAGACACGGCCCCTGACCGAGGGATTCCACAAGGAGCTGCCGCGGGAAATCTAGGGAATCTCCCTTTCGCCTGTTTCGGAATCGGGAGAAGCGGGTCCTAGCGCCCCAGAGAGCCTGAGTGCAGAGTAAGCAGCCCTAATCGCCCATCAAGTACTGATTTAAAGTTGTCTGTCCGCAGCCTCTCCTGACCTTTGTGCTACTTTGTGGATGAGAGCAAAAAGTGCCTCCCCCAAAGCTCTGATTTCAGCCAAAACTAACCTTACATAGTGTTGAAACAGTTGATTTGTAAATCCCGTCTCAGGAGGAGAGTTATAGACAGAGGCTCTGTTATTCTAGAGATACCCTTTGACAAAGTCCCCTTTGGCCAGGCTGCCCCAACCTCATTTCCTTCACTCCTTTCCAGCCCCAGGGAGGGACTTGGCCTTCTTCAACAAGTCAGACCACATTAACCTGAGTGTCGCCTGTGGGAAGCGATTATGCCCTCAGGGAATGAACCCCTTTCAGGGACGACTTTGCCCAGGTTCCTGCTGATCCTCACAACTCTCAGGTGAGGAAGCCATGGTCAAAGAGGCTTTAGGAAGGAGGAAACTCATATAGACTTGTTCTCTGATAATATTCCTCACATCAGCTCTCAGCTCTAACCCCTGCAACATTTTCATCAAGGCCAAAGTCCAACCCTATGACTTAACATCGAAAAACTTCATACTAAACTTCTAACCTATTCTAGACACAAATGGGAGGAAATTGACAGATCCTGGCCAGGGCAGCCCTGTGAATGTTACAGAGTGAGAAACCTGTGTAGGGGCTTGTTAGAATGTCAGAATGGGTCTCCTACATGGGAATATAGTTTTGAGAGCACTTCTACTTAGCAGGTTTAGGCAGCAAACTCTTTGCTTCCTTTCATCTAGAAAAGGAGGTACAGTCATTATATAACAAGAGAAGGATTAAAGCAACTGGACTAGTCAGGGCACTGTGAACGATGAAATCAGATGTTTGTTCAGCTGATGGTAAGTACTATGTGTTAGTGCTTCCCAGTCAGTGGTTGTTCTAAGCAGCACCGGCTGGTAAGGAAGAATTGTCTGACCTCTGTTCCTACTCTTCGTTCATGTTGCCAGAGATCTTGTTAGTTCCAGACATCTGGGTCCTCTCTTTAAAGAAAAACAAAATCATTATTTGCTGCCTTATACAAATGTTGCTTCTATCTCTGCATCCTCTTGCCCTTCTTCCCCATCAGATGTCACTCCCAGGAAGGGACTAATGACTTCTGTACTAAGGTATACATGCTTATTGGCATTTTCTGCAGTCAGAAAGCCTCTTTTTAGCTTAAATCAAACCACAAATCGCTCCTCAGAAAGTCATTTGGGTTTCTAGAGGTACTTCAGAGGTCCAGTGTGACTGAGCTATGGCTTGAGAAGGCAAGAGCTATAGTACTTCAGAGCTGGAGCTTGGAAGGACTCAATGAGAGACTGTGGAGGGCAGGCTGAGTTCTAACTGGAGGAATAAGGAGACCCAGACTCATTCTGGGCAAGAAAGGGCAGGTACAGCTTTTTCAGAAGTTTTGATCCATTTCTTTCTCCCTATAACCAGGGGAGATTGTGCCAGACCATGAAGGCTTTGGATATAAAGCCATAGGAACCTCTGGACATTGTGTCGTCCTCACACTTGTATGTTATGTCCATTGCCTAGAGAGTGATTTCCTTAGTGTGGCATGTCAGACCCTAACAAAAACCAAGAATGAGAGATTGTTAAGAAACAGAGGAATAGCTTGGTGAAATGCTGTTTTGGAAAGGTTGTATGATAGCCGGGTGAGAAGAATTTGGATGAGGAAGAAAACTTAGCAGGAAAAAGATTATAAGTAGCCGTATATCAGTTATCTGTTACATTGTAACAACCTACCCCAAAACTAGTGACCCAAAACAACATTCATTAACTCTTCACAGTCTTTATGAGGCAGGATTTCAAGAGTCACTTAGGTGGGTAGTCTGGCTTAGCATTTCTTGTGAAGTTGCAGGTATTGGCTGGCATCCAGAATATATAAAGAACTTTCACAATTCAATAATAAAAAGATGACTAACCCCCAGTAAAAAATGGACAAAGAACTTGAAAAGACATTTTTCAAAGAAGATATGCAAATGGCCAATAAGTACATTTAAAAAAAAAGTTTCAACATCATTACCTATTATAGAAATGCAAATGAAAAATCATATGATAGCACCTGATACCACTGTGATGGCCACAACAAAGACACAGATGATAAACAAGTGTTGACAAGGATGTGGAGAAATTTGAATCCACATACATTGCTGGTGGAACTATAAAATGGTACATCCTGTTTTTATAAACAGTTTGACAGTTCCTCAAAAGACTAAACATAGAGTTAATACATGATACAGCAGTTCTCCTAGGTATATAGCTATGATGATTAATTTTACATGTCAGTTTGAGCTATGTGGTGCCCAGATATTGGTCAAAACATTTTTTTGCTGTGTCTATTGGGGTGTTTTTGGATGAGATTAAAACTTGAATGTAGACTGAGTTAAGCCAGTTGCCCTCCCTAATGCCAGTGGTCTTCATCTAAATAGTTGAAGACCTGACTAGAACAAAAGATAAACCCTCCCATGAGTAAGGGGCAATCCTACCTGGAGATTGAGCTGCCATAATGATCTTTTTCTGCCTTCATATTCAGCTGAAACATTGGCTCTTGGGTCTCAAGCCTGCTGATGTTTAACCTGGAATTTACACCATTAGCTCTCCTTGTTCTCAAGTCTTCAGACTTGGACAAAAACTATACTGTTGGTTCTCCTGGGTCTCTAACTAACTGTCTTAGGATTTGCAGATCTTATGATTTGCCCACCTCCTTAATCAATGAGCCAATTTCTTATGATAAATATCTTTATATGTATAGTAAATGTTGTATGTGTATGTTACATGTATATTTGTGTATGTTAAATGTATATGTATGAATGTATATCAATATATCTAACCTATATAGTACCCAAGAGAATTGGATTATATACACAAACACCTATACACAAATGTTGATCGTAATATTATTCATAATAACCAAAATGTGGAAAAGTGCAAATGTCCTTTATCCAATTAACACAATAAGGAAAATGTGACATATTTATACAAAGGAATATTATTTTACTACATTAAAATTATTAGTATATATTTTTTTCACATTTAAAAAAATGAAGAGCCTCCCTGGTGCCTCCGGGGGTTACATCTCAGCACTATGAAGCTATCCGCAGTCACTACAGCATCGGCCAGGGAGGTGACCCATATGGCACGGTGGACCTCTCCTGTCGCATCCACTACTCCCTTCAGCAGTGTAGCCCAGTAGATCTGCCTGTTCCGCTCCCCACTCTGTCTCTGGTGAATCCTCTCACTGCCCCACACCTCTGGCCTACATCCCAGTTCTTGTATGCATAAATAAATAAAATAAATCTTTAAAAAAATAAAGAAATGTGTGGAGAAAAACTACTAGTAGGTATGAGATTTCTTTTTGGGGTGGTGAAAATATTGTAAAACTGATTGTAATGAAGTTTGCAAACTCGGTATATTAAAACCACTGAATTGTGCACTTTTTTGTGTTGGTACACATTAAATGTGTCAATTTTGTGGTATGTGAATTATATCTTAATAAAGCTATCTTCAAAAAACAATACTGGGGGCCTCCCCTGGTGGCGCAGCGGTTGAGCCTGGGCTGCAAAGCTGCCCGCAGCCTCTGTGGTGCCGGTTCGATCCCCAGCCATCGGTGAGGGGTCCCACATGGCGCGGCAGACCTCTCCTGCCGAGTCTGCTGCTCCCCTCAGCAGTGTATTTCGTCAATCTGCTTGTTCTGTTCCCCACTCTGGCTCTGGTGAATTCTCTCACCCTCCCACTCTTCTGACTGTACCCAGTGCTTGTATAAATAAATAAATCTTTTAAAAAAAACCAAAACAATACTGAACTCACCACCACCACCCTGTGTCCCCCCTAAAAAGTGTTGCCTGGGACTGCATTCATCTCACAGATTGGCTTCCTTGTACATTCACATACTGCAGGTCGGTGCTGGCTGTTGTCAGAGGCCTTTCCCCTGCACATGGCCTCTCTGGGCTGCTTGAGTGTCCTTATGACATGGTGACAGACTTCCCTAGAGGAAATAACCTAAGATAGAGGAGCCTCCCTGGTGGTGCAAGGGGTTAAGATGCAACCCATGAAGCTATCTACAGCTGCTGCAGCATGAGTTCGAAACCCGGCCAGGGAGCTACCCACATGGCGCAGACCTCTCCTGACTCATCCGCTGTTCCCCTCAGCAGTGTATTTCAGTCGATCTGTCTGTTCTGTTACCCACTCTGTCTCTGGTGAACCCTCTCTCCCCCACACCTCTGGTCTGTACCCCAGTTCTTGTATGCATAAATAAATAAATCTTTAAAAAAAATAAGCTTAGAGAGGCAGAAACTGTCTATCTTCATTGCCTAGCACTGGCAGTCACATAGCATCATTATCATGGTATTCTATTCATTAGTAGTGAGTTACTGAATGTGACCAACATTCAAGGGAAGGGGAGTTAGAATTCACCTTTTGAAGGGGGAAAGTGTCAAATAATTAGTGAACATAAATGAAAACCACCATACTGAATAAGGTTAGGTGAAGATGTGGTCTAGGAGAAGACTCAGAGAGAAAGAAATTTGAATTTTCAAGACATCTTGAAGGCCCACTTCAACAGACTTGGTTCTTACAAGCAGGAAGAGCAACAGAAAGTAGTAAGGTGATGCTCAGGTTTCAAATGCTGATAAAAAAGGTAGGGGCACAAACGATATTGGGAAAGTGAGATTCTGGAGGTGATTTGAAGCAAATAGACTTGTGTAGGGAGTGCTTCTCCAGGAATTTGGAAACTAAAGGTCAGGAGAGAAGGTGCAGAGATGGCCAAATGATAATCATCATTGAGCATAGATACAAGCCCTGGAATTTGAGTTTTCTGAAAGTAGTAGTGGACCATATGACTACGGTTTAAGCCTTGGAGAATGCCTGAAAAATAAAGGAGACAGAAAGGAGTACCAAGAAGATAGATATAAAGAGAGACACACAGTTTGAAGTATTGGATACATCAAAAGGTGGAAAAGGATGAGGACCAAGAAAAGTAGGATTTAATCCACCTCACTCCACAATGATCTCTTGAGAACCTTATCTAACCATGCATATTTCACTGCAAATGGGAGTGGGGTAGTGACAGAGCTGGAGATTTGTATCAGCCAGGTCTGGTTACTGGCAGATCACCTGAATTCACTAAACCCAAGTTTCCTCATCTGTAAACCTTTCCCATTGAGTCATTTGAGATCCATTAGATAAGAAATATCTAATGAAACTGAGCAGATGAGGAGATCAGAGGAACTGTCATTCTCTCTGAAAGCATAACATTAATACCTTGTGAGTGAAGCATTTGAATAAATTGGAGGGAAGAGAAGTCTGAATCCAGCTGATTAAATGAATGCTGAAGACATATATACAGGTACAGATTTGGCAGACAGTTGAATCATTGCTACCCACAGGCATCTGATTCTTGGAAATAACTGTATTTTAACTTATGGTTTCAGGTCCGACTGCAGACACAGCCCCCGAGTTCACCTGGACAGCCTCCCATGTATTCTGGGACCCTTGACTGTTTCCGGAAGACTCTTATTAGGGAGGTATGGTATCTTGGTGCTGGGCATTCCTCTTACTCAAAGGAACACATTCACAGGGTTGGTTTGTTACCCCCCTGGGGGTAAAGGTGACATTGTATAGTTCTGCTGGAGGTCTAGCCCATGTCTGCAGCTTTCACTGTGCCCTCCTGTACCCTCCTGTCATCGCCTGTTCCAGAGTCTGATAGTTCTAGCTACCATTTTATTTGGATGATAGAAGCTAAATAAAATAGCTCTCTCTTTCAAAAGGTAGAAACTAGATCACAAGGAGTTAGTGAGAATTAATTAGAGTGAAATGGAAGAAAATACAAATCTGGTTCAATCAGTTGTCTACAGGGATCAGTGTCAGAAGTTTATGTAAAGTTGTAAAGTCTGGAGGAAAAGTCATTCAGCCTAAGGAACAATAAGAAAGGCCAACAGGGTCTCCAACTCCCAGACAAGGACACCAAATTGGTTTCAGGTTACTGGATGATTACATAATACTTTTAAGATCATTGAGTGAAAACATGGGATTTTAAAAAAGTTTTAGTTATTAGTGCTTACTTCTTTAGCACATGTGTGAAAAGACCTTCTTGAGAACCACTCCTTTGCTTTCTAAAATAAACTCTCCTGAATACTCTATTAAGTAGATAGTCTTTATTAAATATACAGAAACTGAGAAGTCAGTGTCACCCAGATAAAGAAGGGATGCTGATAAGTGATGAATTCAACAGTGGGGGATAAGTTAGTCCAGGGTTCTTGTGGGACCCAGATGTGGGAGGAAGATTTTGGGGGAAGGGACTACCTAACCACCATGTGCAAGATGGTGCTGCCTTTTCTTCTGTAAGGTGCTCCTTTCATCTGTGCTCCCCAGGGTCGATTTTGATCAGTGTCACATAGAAACCGCAGGCCTGTTCAGAGTCCTTTGCCCTAATGGAAGAGAAGCAGGTTTATATGCCTCTTGGTCAACAAACATTATGAGCACCTGTGTAGCAGCTGAACAGTATGCCGGGTGCTAGGAGGCCTCAGAGAATGGCTTGTATAAACCCAACTCCTTGTAGAATTAAATAGGCTTCCTTAAGTTCATATTTGAATGTGTCCATGTTTTTTTTTTTGTTTTGTTTTGTTTTTTTTAAAGATTTATTTATTTATACAAGCACTGGGTACAGTCAGAAGCGCGGGAGGGTGAGAGAATTCACCAGAGCCAGAGGGGGGAGCAGGGCAGGCAGAAGGACGGAAGTACACTGCTGAGGGGAGCAGCGGGCGGCAGGAGAGGTCTGCGCGCCATGCGGGACCCTCCTCCGGTGGCCGGGGAGCAGCCAGGGATTGAACCGACGCTGCAGAGGCTGCGGGCAGCTTCGCAACCCAGCGCTCAACCGCTGCGCCACCTGGGAGGTCCATGAATGTGTCCATGGTTTTTGCTGTACCAGGCAGCTCTCTGCTTTCTGGAGCTGCCAGACAGCCAGAAGTCTTGGTTGTGCAGCTGGGTGGGTGTGCAGCACAGTGAAAGGAAGGGTAAAGGAGTTGTTGGGAGATGTGGGCTTGCCTCTTGTCCCCCAGGACCTGGGCATCCATCTGAGGCCAGGTGAGGAGCTGTGGGAAGAGCTTGATTCTGTGCTGTTTTGTACATCAACCCCTGAGCCTTCTGTCTCACTCACCCTTTCCTGTCTACAGCCTCTGTACTTTGTTACCAGAGTCTGCCTGAGCCTATGGCATTTTTAGACTGTTGCAGATCTAGAGTTGCCCCACGTACAGTTGTGCCCTTTTGGTTCTGGAAAGAACATCTGTTGTGAATGCCCAGGGTCTGCAGCAATGCAAATTCTCCAGCCTGGATCTATCGACCCTCCCTGTAAACAGCGCCACTCATTCTCTTGCCATCTTCTGTAAGGAGCAACTTCAATGTTTTTTGTATTTGTTTTAAATTGTTTTTCCTTATTTTGTATTAAAGGGATATCAGCAGTTTGTTACTGAAAGGTAACTACCAGATATAACTACTACAGAAAGTGCAACTACTTTTAGCTCTTTCAATTGTTTGTGCTGTTTCTACCTAGTTACATAATAAACATTTGCTTCTGTATTTATATATTTTTGCTTTAGTTTCTATTTGTGATAGATAATTTTAACTCATATTATCTATCTCCGCTTCCCGCCCTGATCATAACATTTTATCACACACCTTAATTTTTAATTCCATTCACTTTTCATGATTATAACTTTTTATATATTTTTATGTTAACTAAGTAATATATTCTGATATGCATTTCATTTCTTGTGCAGCTTTATTTTTCTTGAGGTTACTTTAAAATTGTGTCAGTTTCTCTTGCTTATTTTTCTTTAATAGATGTCTTTATTATCTAGTAGCTGAAATACTCTATAACCTCTTTTGTTTGATTTTACACACTCCTAAACAGTTAGAATCTGTTGTTCCAATGTGTGTTGTTTTATTTTTTCTGGAAATATCCCTTCTGGGGATGTTTCTACTCTCATGTAGACTGGCTGCTTCCCAGACCTACTATATCTAAGACAATCCTGGAAATCCTCCCTTGGGCTGAATGTTTGGTCTCTGTGGCCCCAGATCTTCCTCTTCCCTGGTTTATTAACTTTGTTTAATTGGAATAGCTGTATATTTATCTGTCTGTATTTTGGCTACTATATAGTATTTTGGCTACTATATACTTCATTTCCAAAGTATACTGTGAACACTGATGTGACACATCTTAGTACTGTTTTTTTTTTTTTTTTTTTTTTATAGAGGCATGCTTTATTTATTTGTTTGCTGGTTTCTTTGTTTGTTTTGTTTATACATGCACTGGGTACAGTCAGAAGCGCGGGAGGGCGAGAGAATTCACCAGAGCCAGAGCGGGGAGCAGAGCAGGCAGAAGGACCGAAGTACACTGCTGAGGGGAGCAGCGGGCGGCAGGAGAGGTCTGCGCGCCATGTGGGACCCTCCTCCGGTGGCCGGGGAGCAGCCGGGGATCGAACCGGCGCCGCAGAGGCCGCGCGCAGCTTCGCAACCCAGCGCTCAACCGCTGCGCCACCGGGGAGGCCCTTAGTACTGTTTTTAACAACTAAAAAAAAATCCCTCAGAAAATTTCTTAATCACCTATTATTTCACCCCAGGGAAGAGAGATCACACTGTACATACTGTTTTGTAGTTGGCTTCCCACCCCCACCCCTACTTAGTAGTCTCTTCCCATGTTACAATGTGATCTTATGGCTGTGTGATGGTCCACTGACAGAATTTCGGTGATTTGTCTCATTGATCTCCTATTTGGGAACTTTTTAAAGCATTTTAAAAGGACAGGTTTATTAGGAAAAAGAGAAAGAAAAGAGAAGCACTGCACAGTCATAGGTGGGCGGAGAGCTCCTACTGCTGTTTTGAAAGGAAAAAGGTTTGTGAAAAGAAACACCTGCATAGTCACCGTGGGCTGAAGAACTGCCTATTTGAGAACTTTTAAGGAAGTTCATTCCAAAATGTTGGTAACTTGGGCCTCCCTGAAACAAAAAAGTTTCAGCTATCAAGCTATCGCCAGCCACTGCAGCACGACGAGTTCAATCCCCGGCCAGGGAGGTGACCCACATGGCCCACCAGACCTCTCCTGTCTCACCTGCTGCTGCTCCTCTCAGCAGTGTATTTCAGTAGATCCGCCTGTTCATCTTCTCACTCTGCCTCTAGTGAATCCACTTATACCCCAGTTCTTGTATGCATAAATAAAAATATACCTTTATACAAAATGTTGGAACCTTATAAATGCCTGGTGTCATTTTTTATATATGTCTGTGTGTGCGCGCGTGTGTATACATACATATGTATATACACATACATATGTATGTATACACGTGTGTATATATGTATACACACATATATGTATCTATGAATACACACATACATTTGAGTAATTTATTTGGAATATACTTCTAGGAAGAAATTTCCTGCTGAAAGTGTATGCTACTGTCAGATTGCCTTGCAGAATGGAAAGTGTTCTCAGTTTTTCCAGCATTGTATAAGAGGACAACTATTTCTGATAAATGTGAAGATTTTCTTCCTTTTAAAACCTCTCTTTGCTTGAAGGAGAAGTGAAAGAAGGCAGCCACACATTAGATGAAGAGTGGTGTTATCTGTAATCAACTTCTGCTTCTGTGGTTCTTTGCAGGGTATCACAGGACTATACCGGGGCATGGCTGCTCCCATCATCGGGGTCACCCCCATGTTTGCTGTGTGCTTCTTTGGGTTTGGTTTGGGGAAGAAACTGCAACAGAAATCCCCAGAGGATGTGCTCAGGTAAGTACTTTCAGGCCTGAAGAACTTGATGCTGTCCTGCCTGGTGGTATGACATGAAATAAAGGAAAGAGCCTTGGTGGGCCCTGGAGACTGGCTCCTGAGAGCTCTGCATTGGGAAGGTACTTGAGCTTCCTTTGCCTTGTGAACCAAAAGGGAAAAACCAAGCTCTTTTTCTTACTTGTAGCTGTGCAAGTGTCCTTTCCTTTCCTTTTTTTTTTTATTTGATAATTAACCTTCTATTTTGGATATAAAAAAAGGGGGAGAACCCTTAAAATTTTCATAATTTCTTCTGTGAAGTAGTATCTCTTTGGATGTTAGTAATACCAAACCCTACAGGGCTGTTGGGAGATCGGAATGCTAAAATGTGTGTAAAATGCTGTGAGCAGTACCTGGCGCTACAGTAATGACAGCCACAACTTTGTTTTCTACCACCTGGTTGGGACCAGAGAAGGTTGCAACTTTTGTTTCACTTAATTTTTACTATATATAATTATAATTATTTCAGTTATTGGTTTCTCTTTTATTTTTTTTAAAGATTTATTTATTTATGCATATAAGAACTGGGGTGTAGTCCAGAGGTGTGGCGGAGAGGGGGAGAGTATTCACCATAGACAGAGTAGGGAGCAGAATAGGAGGATTGACTGAAATACACTGCTAAGGGGAGCAGCAGGTGAGACGGGAGAGGTCTGCTGCGCCATGTGGGTAGCTTCCTGGCCGGGGATTGAACTCGTGCTGCTGTAGCTGTGGATCGCTTCATAAGTTGCATCATAACTGCTTGTGCCACCAGGGAGGCCCTGCTTTCTCTTTTTTCTTTTAAAGATTTATTTATTTAGGCATACGAGAACTGGGGTACAGGCCAGAGTGGGGGGGGGGTAAGAGGATTCACCAGAGACAGAGTGGGGAACAGAACAGGCAGAATGACTGAAATCCACTGCTGAGGGGAGCAGCGGGCAAATCAGGAGAGGTCTGCTGCACCATGTGGGTATCTCCCTGGCCGGGGATCGAACTTATGCTGCAGTGGCTGTGGATAGCTTATGCAGTGGCTGTGGATAGCTTCATAGGTTGCGTCTTAACCCCTTGCACCACCAGGGAGGCCCTCTGGTTTCTCTTTTAAAAAGAAATATATTAGCATATTTCCTTTTGATAAACTTTAAGAAGTTAGATTTGGGTATAAAGAGGCAGATGAGTCAGAATTATAACGAAGAATTTACAAAATAATTAATGAAAATGGACCTCTTGGGATGCAGGGTATTTGGAATGGCTATGAGATGTCAAGGTGCCCTCAGTCTGAGATGTCTAGATGACAGCTCCAAGGAATGACTGCCAGAAGCACAGGACCTACAGAAGCCAGCCAGACTTGGAACTTGAGTGCGGAAGCCTAGGGCACCAAAGGATTATTTCTTCTCACTGCTTTATGCCATTACTTCAGGCTGAGAAGAGTCTAGAACTGGAGATGATGTAAAATATAAATGGAGTTTTGAATGTGCTCAGCTTCTGCGGTCACAGATGGTCCTAAATGTGGGTATGCGAGGGTTTCTTTTGAAGCTGTGTTTGACTATTGGTAGACCAAATGACCTTAGGCACGCATCCTCTCTGAGTACCTCATCTTTTAGCTCATGTGCCAGCTCACAGCTGTACCAGGGCCATGCACAAGGGCCAACTCTCTATGGGTTGTGTTCTCCATGCAGTCACATCAGCTCTCAAAGAAGCACCCTTTCTGCTTGAGCAAGACTATGCCATTCAGCATCCCACTCCCACAATCCTGTTATGTTCCGAATCCTGAATGTCAGCCCTGCCATGTTTGCCTCCCTGCAGTGGTGTTTAAGGATAGGAAAGGAGAATTCCCATGGCCTTGGGGCAGAGCACAGGGAGATCTAGCACTCACAGAAGCATCCCTGGGGTAGTGGTGAGGTTTGGCAGAATGGGTTATGCAATTGGGGGGTCTACATGTTACCCTGTGCATACACAGTGGTCCCATTCAGAGGAAAGTCCCCAGTCCCAGAATTGGGACCTGTACATGACTTAGAGTTTGGGCATCCTGGGAAGAAAAGAACATGCTTATTTCATGAGGGGACATTTAGTTGCTGAAAGGGCTCCCCTTGACGACAGCAGTGAAAGTTGAGAATGTGAATGAGGCCATGTGTCTCTTGTGTGCTGAGCTTGCTTGCCTGAGGTAAGTTTGTGAGCCCTTCCTGGGGTGAGTGCATAGAAAAAACAGCACTGTTGAGATTGATGTCTCTTGCCTAGAGGGAAGGACCAGCAATGGATGTCTTCTTATCCCCATTTGACATCTGTTTCCCAGGATTGGGCACCTTGTTGTGTGGGACCAGCATGAAAGCTCAGCTGTCAGAAGCTTGGGGTCAGGAGGGACCTGAGCTCTGCCAAGAAATGAAGTTTTTCATCAACTCTTGCTAAGTTGCAGAGACTTGGTTGAAATGTGCTCCATTGTCTCCAGACCATGCTAGTATTGCTCGTCCCAGAAAGAAAAGGAAATTCCAGAAGTAATGGCAACTGTAAACTATAGTTGTTAGGAGCCTCACACCTCTCTAACTACTCAGTGTGCCTCATTCCATGAGGCCAGGGTGAGGATCCATATCTCTGACTGCTGGACGATCCTTCCCTGCAGAGGACCACAGGACTGACTATTACGCCTCTCTGGGTGCCATCCCTGTCTGGACCATATTCAGCATCTTAAAGCACATTTCTTGGCCTGGATGCCCCTGAGCTCATGGAGATGGCCACAGCTGTTCTCTCCTGTTTTGCTGCTGTCCTGCTTCAGGTTTTGTTTTGTTTTGTTTTGTGGGACCCTCGCCGGCGGCCAGGGAACCAACAGGCACTGCAGAGGCTGCGGGCAGCCTCACAGCCCAGCGCTCAACTGCTGCGCCACCAGGGGAGGCCCAGTCCTGCTTCAGTTTTGCCTTGAAATAGTCTCAGGTTCTTAGTGACCCAGAGGAAGTGAAATTGGAAAGGAATGGAGGTCAACTGAGGTCCAGATCCTGGCTTAGAGTTTTTTGTTTGTTTGTTCTCACAACAACCCTGAATTTTACAAATAGGTAATCGAGGTTGCATGAACACTAGAAATGCATGCATAGTCATTATGCATGGCAGGGCTGGGAGGGAAGCCATGTCCTTCTGTAAATATGAGTGAGTATGCAGGTAGGCCTTCTTGTGACCAAGCTCCAGTTGCTCTTGGCATTGAAACTTGGGCCTGGGAAATTTGACATCAGAATACACCTAAAAATTGGCTTCCGCCCAGTCCAAGTACTTATTTTTTCTTACAAACTTATCCTCTTTGCTTGGATTTCCTTTGTTGTTGGTAGTCATATGAACTCATCTCTGTTTTTTGTTTCCAATGCAGCTACCCCCAACTGTTCGCAGCTGGGATGCTATCTGGAGTTTTCACCACAGGAATCATGACCCCTGGAGAACGGATTAAGTGCTTGTTACAGGTAAGTGTGATCTGGGGTGGGGGGCTGTGAATTGGTGGCAGGCAAATAGCTTTTCCCATTCAACATACAATTTTGTGTGGATGTTTATGTCCTTTCACCCTTTATAAAGACATCAGGTCAGGTGTGCACAACAGTTTCAAGGTTTCCAGGAACTTGGAAGTAATCACAGTAGAATCAAGAATAGGGAAGCACATTCCATATGATCTAGCAATTCCACTCCTAGGTATTTACCCAAAGGACACAGAAACATCAATTCCAAAGAGCACCTGCACCCCTATGTTTATAGCAGCACTGTTTACAATAGCTAAGCTTTGGAAACAACCCAAATGCCCAAAAATAGATGACTGGATCAAGAAGATGTGGCACATATATACCATGGAATATTACTCAGCATTCAAAAAAGATAAACACATGCAATTTGCAGCAACATGGATGGCGCTGGAAGGGATCATGCTCAGCGAAATAAGCCAAAAAGAAAAAGAAAAATACCGGATGGTCTCACTCATAGCAAGAATCTAGAAAACTTAAGTAAGGGACCAGGAAAATGAATATAAGAAAGTGAAAATCAAAATCAACAAAAAACTATGAACCAGAGACACTTTTTGGGGGGTGGGGGGCGGGAGGGGAAGGATTGGGGTCAGAATGGGGCATTTGCAATTGTATGGGGGAATATAAAAATAAAATTTATTATAAAAAAAAAAAAAAAGAATAGGGAAGCATAATAAACCAACCAAAATGACACACCTATGTCAGCCCAGGCTTATCCACCTTTATTAGCAGATACTTCAGTAATTCTGAAAGATAAGTCATGTCTCATCAGAGGTGGAAGGGAGTCTGCTGCTGCCCACCATGTCCTGTGTCCCTGCCAATTGCCCAAAACCTCAGTGCTCTTAGAGTGCCTGACTTGCCGTCCAGCAGAACACAGGGCTCTTTAGCACACAGTGCTCCTTTTAAAGTAGAAATGTTACTGCCTTTTTCCTTTTCATGGGTGAAGTAATTTAATATGCAACCCTTGCTAGAAAATTTTAATACTGGAGGGCCTCCTTGGTGGCGCAGCAGTTGAGCACTGGGTTGAGCACGGGGCTGGCCGCAGCCTCTGCAGCACCGGTTTATTCCCCCGCCGCCGGCGAGGGTCCCACCAAAAAAAAAAAAAAAAAAATTTTAATACTAGAGGTGCACAAAGGAAAAAAATATGTATTTATTACTGATGATAACACCTCTTTGAGGTAACCACTGTTATGTTTGTGTGTGAATTTCTCTAGTCTTTTTTTTTTTTTTAAGATTTATTTATTTATTTATTTATACAAGGACTGGGTACAGTCAGAAGTGTGGGAGGGTGAGAGAATTCACCAGAGCCAGAGCGGGGAACAGAACAGGCCGAGTGACGAAATAACACTGCTGAGGGGAGCAGCGGGCACAGCTGGAGAGGTCTGCGCGCCATGTGGGATCGTGGCCGGAGGCCGGGGAACGAACTGGTGCTGCAGAGCTTGCGTGCAGCTTCATAGCCCAGCACTCAACTGCTGCGCCACCAGGGGAGGCCTAATTTCTCTAGTCTTTTTGGTAGGCATGTGTATTAAGACATGTTCTCTTTTGAAACAGAATTGGGATAATGTGCTGCAATATGCTTTAACTTTTTTTATTTCTTTTTTTATTTTTTTAATAACATTTTTTTAATTAATTAATTTATTTATATAAGAACCGGGGTACAGGCCAGATGTGCAGGAGGGTGAGAGGATTCACCAGAGATAGAGTGGGGTACAGAACAGGCAGGCTGACGAAATACACTGCTGAGGGGAGCAGCGGGAGAGGTCTGCTGTGCCATGTGGGACCCTTGCCGGCCGGCCGGCAGGGATCAAACCCGTGCTGCAGAGGCTGCGGACATCTTCACAGCGCTGCCCTCAACCGCCTGTGCCACCAGGGGAGGCCCCTTGCTTCAACTTTTTTCACTTGTATCATTTTGCTATGTGCTTTTTTCCCTTGAGCATCATTTTCTTTTTTCTTTTTTTTTTTAAAAAAAAGATTTATTTTATTTATCATACAAGAGCGGGGGTGTAGGCCAGAGGTGCGGGGCAGGGGGGTGAGAAGATTCACCAGAGAAAAGAGCGGGGAGCAGAACAGGCAGATCTACTGAGCTTCACTGCTGAGGGGAGCAGCAGGCACAAAAAGAGAGGTCTGTTGCGCCGTGTAGGTTAGCTCCCTGGCCAGAGACTGAACTCATGCTGCCGAAGGCCACATAGTGCTGAGACTTAATCCCTTGTGCCACCAGGGAGGCCCTACGGGACCATCATTTTCTGCGTCATTTTCATTACTACTCTTCTGGCATTATGACAAATTACATGCCACAGCAGAGATTTTTGTCATAAGGTTTTGCACATATACCTCATTATTTCCTTAGGACAAGTGTCTAGACTTAGAATAAGTATGTTTAGAGGTATGTATATTTTAAGGTTTTTAACACACATTAGTGACCCTTCTATAAAAGCCTATTGCTTTCTATTCCTATCAATTATGCAGCAGACTCTGTAGCATCTAATTATAATCTCTGACAGTTTGATAGGTCATAAATGTAGTTTTACTTTTTTATGCTTTTAATTGTTGATGAGCTTAATTATTTTGATGCCTATTAGTTGTTGCTTTTTTCCTTTGTAAAGTGGCTATATTCTATGCTAATTTTGTTTTCATTGATTTATAAAAACTTAGGACATACTAAGATTATTAATTACTTCTGAGTGGCAGGTCTTCATGGTTTGCATTTGTTATTTAATTTTGAGATAATTATAGGTTCATGTTAGGTTGTAAGAATAACACAAAGAGGGCCTCTCCGGTGGCACAGCGGTTGAGCGCTGGGTTGCAAGGCTGCCTGCAGCCTCTGCAGCACCGGTTTGATCCCCGGCTGCTCCCCGGCCACCAGAGGAGGGTCCCACATGGTGCGCAGACCTCTCCTGCCGCCTGCTGCTCCCCTAAGCAGTGTACTTCGGTCCTTCTGCCTGCTCTGTTCCCCGCTCTGGCTCTGGTGAATTCTCTCACCCTCCCGTGCTTCTGACTGTACCCAGTGCTTGTATAAATAATTAAATCTTTGAAAAAAAAAAAGAATAACACAAAGAGGACCTCACGGTGGCGCAAGGGGTTAAGACGCAACCTATGAAGTTATCCGCAGCCACTGCAACATGAGTTCAATCCCTGGCCAGGGAGCTACCCACATGGCACAGCAGACCTCTCCTGCCTCGCCTGCTGCTCCCCTCAGCAGTGTATTTCAGTCTGCCTGTTCTATTCCCCACTCTGTCTCTGGTGACTCCTCTCACCCCCCACACCTCTGGCCTGTACCCCAGTTCTTGTATGCATAAATAAATGAATCTTTAAAAAAAAAAAGCAACACAAAACAAAGAAGGAAATAATACAGAGAGAGCCCATGTACTCTTCAGCCAATTTTTCCACAGGGTAAAACTGTGGCGCAACCAGAAAATTTTCATGGATACAGTCAAGGAATAGAACATTTTCATTTTGCCAAGGATCCCTCATGTAGGCTCTTTTAGCCATGCTAATTTCCCTTCCTTATGTGTGCCCTTAACCACGACAATCACTATTCTGTACTCCATTTCTTTAATTTTATTTTTAAGAATGGAATCATACAGTGTGTAAATTGCATATTGACTCTTTTTTTTTTTTTTTTTTCAAGATTTATTTATTTATTTATTTATACAAGCACTGGGTACAGTCAGAAGCGCGGGAGGGTGAGAGAATTCACCAGAACTGGGGTACAGGCCAGAGGTGGGGGGGGTAAGAGGATTCACCAGAGACAGAGTGGGGAACAGAGCAGGCAGAAGGACCAAAGTACACTGCTGAGGGGAACAGTGGGCGGCAGGAGAGGTCTGCGCGCCATGCGGGACCCTCCTCCGGTGGCCGGGGAGCAGCCAGGGATCGAACCGGCGCTGCAGAGGCTGCTGGCAGCTTCGCAACCCAGCGCTCAACTGCTGCGCCACTGGGGAGGCCCGCATATTGACTCTTTTTAAACTTCTCTGCATTCATTCAGATCGTTGCATGTATCTGAGGTTCACAGGGCAGATAGGTCACAAAATGTTTAACTTTTCATCCATTAAAGGACATCTGGTTATTTCTAGTTTTTAGATACTGTGAAAAAAGATGCTAGAAACATTCATGTACAGAGATTGTTCTGAGAAAATATGTCTTCATATATCTGGGATAAATGTCCAGGAGTACAATTACTGAGCCATGTAGTAGTTACATGTTTATTTAAACAGTTTTTTCTATAGGTATTCTGTTTTTCTATAGGTATTCTAAAAAATGAAAAAACTGGTTTTTTAGAGTACCTATATCATTTTACATTCCCACCGGCAATGAGTGAGTAATCCCAGTTTCTCTACATCCTCACCAACGTTTGGTGTTATCACTACTTTTAATTTTGCTCTTGGCACTGAGATTCCTGACCTGGGAGAGGTGTGTATCTCATTTTAACTTGTATTTCTCTAATAGCTGAAGATTTGAACACCTTTTATTTATTTATTTATTTGTTTGTTTGTTTGTTTATACATGCACTGGGTACAGTCAGAAGCGCGGGAGGGTGAGAGAATTCACCAGAGCCAGAGCGGGGAGCAGAGCAGGCAGAAGGACCGAAGTACACTGCTGAGGGGAGCAGCAGGCGGCAGGAGAGGTCTGCGCGTCATGTGGGACCCTCCTCTGGTGGCCGGGGAGCAGCCGTGGATCGAACCAGCACCGCAGAGGCTGCAGGCAGCTTCGCAACCCAACGCTCAACCGCTGTGCCACAGGGGAGGCCCTGAACACCTTTTCATGTGTTCCCTCCTCCTCTGTTTTCAGAGATTGTGTAGAATTTGTATACATTCTTCTTTAAGCACTTGGTAGAATTTTACCATCTAGCCTTGGAAATTTGGGAGGAGTCGCCCTAAAATTATGAATTCAGTTTTCTTTACAGTTACAGGACTATTAGATTATTTCTGAACTATAAGTTATAGTTTTTCGTGTAA